TGTAGCTGCAAAAAACAGCACCGTATTATATGACTTACTGCCATCTTCTCTGTGATAGTCGACTTCTGCTTGTCACTCAGGTCCTGCTCTATGACACACTCATGAAGCTGTGTCAAGATCTGTGTGGCTGCGTAGCCTTCATCCACCATGTTCTGACAGAGAAGATGATTAAAAGGTATTGATTGCCATACCTTTTATTTTGTGCTTAACTATCTATTTCAGGCTATTAGATGTTAGAACACTTACCCTGACTGCTACCTCCAGTTTCTCAAATGTTCCTCTGAAGCAGATTTGGAGCAGGTTGTCAATCATCTTGTCAGGTACAACCTAACAGAGAGCAGAAGCAAGATCTCAGATGAGAAAGACATTCTAACTACAGTTAATAATCATTTTTTGCAGTCTACTGTGATACAAATGAAGTGCAGCTCACCCCTGCTATTTCAATGACAGCACAATCAGTGATTTCCTTGTCGACATTGAGGCGTGCAGCACTTTGCAAAAATGTGATTGCTTTCCGCAGATCGCCTTCAGACACCCGCACCAATGCTGCTATACTCTGGATTAGGAAAGACAGTTATCAGACTCCACCAGCTGTGCAAAGAAAGCAGTTGCAGTTCTGCTATACCTCCACTCACATTTAAACTGATTATACATTAAATGTTATGCAGCACATAGATGTCACTCAAATCAGATTTTCTTTTCAACAGCAAATACATTTCTGACCATGGATGGATTACCACCTGGGAAAGGTGGGCACAGGACCAGGGACAGTGACAGTGGTGGAGGAACACCACCAGTATTACCAGACCAAACACAGTAAAATGGAAATGGAAACTGGCTGTGCCCTCAGGCATCTGAATTACATTAGCCATTTTTTTTTTTAACATATCGTACAGTTAAGAATATTCAACACTTCCTGCCTGTCACTGAGAACTCTTCTGCCTTGTGCTATTGTGCTTACGACAGGAGCAGGCCACACGTACTCTTCACAAATGTAGAGAAGTCTGCAGCCATGATAATCCATCTATTTATGTTACAATCAAAATTTTAGGCAGGAATATTCCTGCGTAACATTCCCTGTATCTAAAATACTTTACAGGTAAGCAAAAATGTTTATACTTGCAAAAACCATCTCTTCACACACTTTGTGTTCTTTTTTTATTTGAAAATGCAGCACCAGCAAAGGATGTTAATAATCATCTACTAATACAATTAAATCAAATGTATAGAAATGGATCATGTAGAATGACTGTAGTATGTGCTTTGACCAGTAGGTGGAGCCTCTTATTGCTTAATGAAATTGAGTGACAGTGCATTAAATCGTAAATTGACTGATGTGCATATCACTTTTCTGCTCATGCTACTGAACACTGCAAACTTAAACCCCAGTTAGTTGTACAGGGGCTGATGTCTGCTACACCTAAAAAAGGCAACTGCAACAATCCCCTGTTTTAAACATTAAATATTAAAAAATAAACAGCTGTTTGCTCATATACATTTGTGGACAGGCTTAACAGCCGAGCAGTTAAACAAACAGGAAAATGGGAGATGTTATGTTTTTCTTTTCTTTTTACCTCTGCAATCAAATCACAAGAAAGCTGGCTGGACTCAACTGGGAGTCTACACCAAGGACAAAAACAGGACAAATAAGGATTGCATGACTCACCATTCAAATCAAAGTTACTTCAGTAATGTCCAAGAACAAAAATACAGGCCTGGAAGTGAGTTTAATACGGTGAGCACAACACAAATTACTTGGGTATTTAAAACCTTGACTTTCTGTTGAGTCTGTTATGGGGAGGATGTGTGCAGATCTATCTTAAAATACTGGTGGTGCCAGGGTCAGACTCAATCTAACATTAACAAAGTTAAAAGATACAGCTCATCATTCTGAGTTGAGCTCCTTACTAAACCCTGATTTGTACTTCTGTGTAAAAAAAACAAAACAAAAAAAAACATTCAATATGTATTTGTGGATGAATAAATGTGTTGAAACTATACTTGTACCAGTCAACTATTTAATTATTTTTGGCATTTTGTAGAAGGACTAAAATGTCCTCATAGCAGTCTCCAAAAGGACCTAAAAAGTGCGCAACTGATCATCTTTAAACCTGCAGATACTGTCCCTGCTGAAGATTACAGCTTCATTAGTAACAAAAGGGAAGAGCAGACTTTCTTTTATTTGTTACATGAATCTTTTTCTTTTTGTGTGCTGCTTTTGTAAAGAAAAAAACATGAAACATTTAACAGCACCCACTGGTAAGATTATTATGTCTGGTAATTTCTTTTACACTCTCCTTTTAAATCAGCCTCTCAGTTAAAATCAAAGAGCACTTTCAAATAATTTTTATGAGGCATTTTCCCCCATGTATGGAGCAATTAAAAAATGAACCTACACTAGAAGTGCGCAAGACATCTTAGAAATTTCTCACAGGTCTACATTACACTATCTGGTCTTTAAATCTGACGTCATTAGCCGTGTCTGGGCCCAAACTCCGCTTAAGGTCACAGTCAAACGATCACTGCGGCATCACTGAGGATTGAAAAAACTGTCTAAATTCTTTCATCTGTAATAAAATGATCAGTGTTGCTGCTTTACCAGGTGTAACAATTAAGTTTAACATCCAGGCATCCATGAAAACAGAATTTAT